GAGAGAGAGAGAGAGAGAGAGAGAGAGAGAGAGAGAGAGAGAGAAAGACGACGTCCCTCGTAGTATCCAACATTCAACCTTGGCCGTAGATCTCATCTACTCAATGACTAATCGTATTGACAATCTTCGTGGTATTCCCCCGCCATTCTGAAGTCGTCGAAATAAGCTTCGCGTCGGCTCTCGGCATATTCGTAGTCGGCTGTTAACACGCTGTGTGTGTAGAGCGTTGCGCGTGATGTATAGAATGACGAGCTTGTGATAAAACGATGAGATCGACCCTTTTGATATCAACGCCGTAGTTGTTACCTTAGACGTCCGGGTTGGTGTGATCGTACGTGTCAATTGCGTATAGATTTGTATCGCGACTGCGGATGGTCTCTCGCGACTTTATTTGGTGGTGTTTGGCTCTGACAACGTTATCCAGTCACGCTTCAGAGTGAGCGTGCGCATGCCTGTGAGCAAGTGTTCACCCGTCTCTTTCTCTCCACCAGCCTGTGCGTGCGTGCGTGCGTGTGCGTGTGCGTGTGCCAGTGCGTGTATCTGTGCGTGTGCGGTTGTGTACGCTTGTAGGCGAGCGTGATTGCATGCGTGCGCGCGCGTGTGTGTGCGCGTATGTATATATATATATATATATAAATGTGTGTGTGTGTGTGTGTGTGTGTGTGTGTGTGTGTGCGCGTGTTCGCGTTTGTTCGTGTCGGTAATTTTCTAGAGCGTAGTTCTATTTAATTTACATACCGTGGTTACCTCAGATACTTGGTGCGCGTATGTATATATATATATATATATAAATGTGTGTGTGTGTGTGTGTGTGCGCGCGCGTGTGTGCGCGTGTGTGCGTGTGTATGCGTGCGTGGGTGTGTATGCGTGCGTGCGTGTGTGCAATGTGTGCGTGCGTAAGGGCCGGACACACTATAGGCGATTTTAATGCGATCTAATCGGGCGAATTTATCGCCCAATACTAGTCGCCGGCGAATGAGTCGGGCGACTGAGAGTGGACACACTAGGCGATTTTCAACGCGATTCATCGGCGATTTTTCTCCCGCTGCAACACTAAAACACTCGCGTCACCTAGATTGATAGTCACATGATTGAAAATGGCACCGTTTGATTGGCTGATGAATTGTACAATCGGGCGACTCATTCGCCGACCCGGACGCGATTATTTTTTCCGTACCGTTACGTCAGCGCTCGCTATGCGTATTGGGAATGCATACTGGGTTAGGGTTAGGGTTAGGGTTAGGGTTATGGTTAAGCCAAGGTTAGGGTTAGGGTTAGGGTTCAGCCAAGGTTAGGGTTAGGGTTAGGGTTAGGGTTCTAGCTCATCTAAACTCTCAAATCATGAATTTATTTCCCAAGGCGTTTTTCGAAATCGGCGCCACCGCAGCCATCTTTGTCTCGTTAAGTATGAAAGCGTATCACTATAGCTCCAAGAAACGGTCTTTGCTAGCGATAGAAGGCCTGTGTAAACACATATTTCAATTATTTGTTGAGTAGTCGAGTACATATAGTGTTTAGGGGGACTGTTGAGCTGTGACGCAA